AATATTTTCGTAACATTATTAAAAAAAAGTTAAAAAAATGGCAACACTGAGACCAAAAATTCAATGAACCAATATCCCTTTCTGACTGGTAAATTACGATTACATTTCAAACAATAAAACATCACCAAAATAGTAATAAAAACATATGCTATGCATAAAACGTTTAACGCATGCGCCATAACAAAACTGACAAAAAGTACACAAGCTAAACCACAAAACTGCTGTTTGGTTTGAAAAAACAGTATACAGAGCTTTGTGTCGAAGTAATACAGTATATGTTTTTAAGGAACTTACGTTACTAATAACTTCTGAAACCAATAACAGGAACGAAAATAAAAGCGATTATTGAACATTGTTTGCATACGTCACCAAACACCATCACATGACAAAAACAAAACAATCTAATTGGTTCGTAACCAATGATTGTGATACCTAATATCACAGAGAGAAACACAGAGCAGCCACTGCAATTTTATCTTAAATATTAGGGTTTAAACACCTTATTTATATAACCAGGTATGTCGGTAATTCATTATTTTTATCAGCTTACTTGTTTCAGCGCTGATAATCGTAATCAAAATACCACTATTAATTTGTATCTAATCAATATACCTTCTAGTGCTGCCCAGATGCATTTAATTACATTAAAGTTAGCAACTGACACCTTATTCAACAAAATAATACAAAAATTACTACAATATAACACCATGTATGCTTATTTTTAAAACATAAATACCAAATATTTTTTTTAAATGAACCAAACAAATAAACAGTTCATAGGGATACAAATCAACACAATTTTTTTCATGGTTTTACCATGTTGAATGTAAATGATAAACAAACACAAAAGCATTTGATAAAAAGTGACTATATAAACTTCTTTACATTTTGTAATAGGAACCACTTAAAACAACAAAATAAAATATATGCTTATGTTTAAGGAGAATATAGAAACAGGAACACCGCTATCATACATACACACATTTATTATATGTATATATTTATATATATATATGAAAATCTGCTACTTAATAATGCACCAAATTAACTCGAGATTCATAAAAAAACAAAAAACACAACGGCCTCCCTACGTGACATGTACTAATAAATTCTTTTGTAAAACACAGGAAATAGTTGAAATTCGCCATTTGAGCCCCAGAGCTGGTTCTTTTCAATGGTACTGGGAGGATATTTCAACCATGAGCAAATTCTCACAATCATTTGGATGATTATACTTTACCTGTAGTCAGGCTGTTGCTTAAACTTCCACTACACTTGTACCCTTCTCCTGTTATTTTGTATCTTCTGTACATTTATTACAAATGAATAAAAGTTCTAACTGATCAATTATAAAAAGTTTGATGAGAGGTACAAGTAAGCCCTGTTCGGTGTTGAGTACTATTTTTCACACATTACAGTGAAGACTGGATAAACGAGTCTGCAGCCTCTTTAATGCAACAAGTTGACTACAGGTAACGTAGTATTATATATTTAAAAGAACCAGTAACTGCTTTGAAAAACTATAGTAATTTTGACAACTAGTGCCATCTATTGAAATGTATAAGTATTTGTGAAATAACATGATTTGCTAATACCAGGTTTTCTTTACATGAATCTTAATAATTCTTTTTTAAGTCATTAACCTATTGGTTGATTTATAGGCTAATTATCTTAAATGAGACACTAGTGGTAAAACTTCTAAAAATGGACCTTTAAAACAAGGAAATAGGAATAAAAAATTTAAACTATTCTGTGTTGTATACAGTCCTTTGTTTGACTGGTGCCATAGTAAATTTCTGGATCAAAATGTACTGTTGAGTTGTGAGATCAGTACCCTGCTGTCTCACAAACTGTAAAAGATTTACTGCTGTCCACTTCTCCACAATAAAATGTATCAACTATCAATGAGTAAAAATTCAGCATGAACTACAGGAACCATTCAGCACCTTAAGGTTATTACTCTAGTTTCATTATACTAGTAGTAATATTAAAAATAATCCAGCTAGTCAACAATGCGTTGATACTACATGCACCTAAGTATTTCTATATCAATAACCTACTAAATGAATGAAAAAAACAACAACAATATATCAGATTTCAATAATGAGATATTATTATCGATGATGGACTGTGGCCACAATACAGGATCCTTATCTACTCTGTACCACATGCTTCACAGTGAAACCAACTGGAACCTTGAAAAATTTGCAAGAGTATAACTTCTTACATTCAACTTTTATACAGACGTTTATTCCTCTTGAGTTTGATACGCTCAATTACTTTAAATATTTCACCAAATAATTAAGCATTAGTGTAGTGGTTTTTTACGCTAGAAATTATCAGAGATATTTTGAAGAACTTCTCCAAACAATATAACTTGGAACTTCAGTTGTAGTACAGATCATCAACTTTGACAAATGACAATGAAATGGATTTGCAAATGTGAACAGCAATAAGTTTTTAACCTTCAGTAATAAAAAAGTTCTAGTACAAGATCACAAATGGAAATAAAGGTACATTTACTGATGGTGACTTCAAGAAGGATCTTTGTACCAAACAAAATTCTTAAATTGTATCATTTATGTGTCTAACCTTATAATAAACATTCAGTATTTTGTAATGGAATCTGAATAATGAATTTTAGAAAAAAAAAGAACTAACAAAGTTTCCAATGATTAGAACGAAACCAGAAATCACTTTTTACAATGTCATAATATACCAATTTTTATAAAATAAATTTCAAATGCACCAAAAATTAGACTAAGAATATGAACAGCCACCGAGAGGACGTGTTAAATTTTAAGGTTAAAACTCGTACCTGCTTTCCACACAACACACAATTTAAAAAACTATGATGATTTCTAAATTTCATCTCTCACCTTTCAACGTGCCAGCTTTATGGCTACACAACTTACCAAATGACTTTTCTACGACAGGAGTATCCAAACTACAAAAATAATATCTACTAGAAGCCTTACATTTATAAAACACTGACGATCATGTAACCTTTGACTTCTTACAAAGCAGCTGAAGTATAAAATTTCATCCATTAAACACTAATCTAACAATACATAGCTGTAACTTCAAACCTTAGATTAGGACTAACACAAGCAACTCCTCAAATAGGACTAACCTAGCTTTCAAGTAGTATTTCCAACACTAAGAGATTCTCCTTCTAGAATACAAACTACATGAGGAAATTCTGTCAATCATTATCTAAAGTTACAAAAACTCGGTCACTTAACAATCAAACGTGTTAATAAAACAAGATTTTACCGCCAAGGTACCTGTCAAACATTTATATACAGTTTCTCAAGAAAGATCCCAGCAATGATTTCAACACCACTTAGCAACAACTTGTATAAACAATAGAAAATTGCATTCAGACGTTCTAGTAAGTTAATCAATCCAATGATAAATCTCCATTTTTAAACATGGTAATGTAAATCAGAATTCAGCTGGAAATATAAGTGTTAAATCAATCAAAGATAGTTCTTTTTTTAAAAGTGGAATTTGTTTTTTAAAATTAATATAATCGTGTGTTAATGCAATGAATGTGACTGTATAAATAATTCAAATAACAATATCTAAATTGAAATAACTGTTATGTTTGCCAATAATATATGTGTAACTTCAATAATTTACAAAGTTTATGACCAAAAGTAGTCACATAAAACTATATATATTTCTAATAAAAGCAACTTAACTGAGAAACGAATTATAAGGTATACATCAAAACCACTTCTGCCACATACACATTTAAAACAGAATCTCAAACCTTCTTACAAATGCTACATACGAAACGATCAACACGAAAGTCTATGTTTGAACTCCAATTCAAGACCTTCTGGTATCAGTAAGATAACACTCTTTGAACTATCAAACATAAATATATTCTTTTAGTATAAAAAGAACAGTTTAGGTTCTAAAACTTACATTTGCTATACCCATGTAGGTTGTTTTACTAATGTTTTGCATTTAAATACACAGAAACCCTCAATATAAGATCTAGGCACTGACTTAATCTTTAGGACAGACAATGTGTTCATATTTAAAGGGAATTAATCCCACTTTCAACATTATTTTACATAGTTCTATCTTTTAAAAAGGTTTTGATGCAGTTAAATACTATAGTGCAGTATTATGCCATGTTTGTGTCAAGAGTCTACTTGCAAGTGGACAGTAACATAAAAATAACAGGAAAAACAAACAGTTCTGACAAAATTCAGTCAATACCAACAATTCACATACCTGCTAATTACAGTTGTATGTGTGAAAAGTAAGCTAACTCAAACATGCCAAGATGACACTAATAAAACAGTGTGTTTGGGTTTGAAGTTAAACAAGTAAGCTAACTCAAACATGCCAAGATGACACTAATAAAACAGCGTGTTTGGGTTTGAAGTTAAACAAGTAAGCTAACTCAAACATGCCAAGATGACACTAATAAAACAGCGTGTTTGGGTTTGAAGTTAAACAAGTAAGCTAACTCAAACATGCCAAGATGACACTAATAAAACTGCGTGTTTGGGTTTGAAGTTTAAACAAGTAAGCTAACTCAAACATGGCAAGATGACACTAATAAAACAGTGTGTTTGGGTTTGAAGTTAAATAAGTAAGCTAACTCAAACATGGCAAGATGACACTAATAAAACAGTGTGTTTCGGTTTGAAGTTTAAACAATCAAAATATCATTTTGTCAGTGAGAACTTTCAACACTGCTTGATGACTGTTAAAAATTAATTACTTAGCTGTGCATAAAATTATGTTTCCTGTATTTCTCAAGTTTTATTTCAGCTTGCCAAATAACTGCAGTTCTACATGTATCTATTGTTTTAAGACTATCTACAGAAAACCAGATATGAATGATACAGATTCTAGAAAAAAAGTTTTAAGATAATAACTCTGAAATAACAAATAAAACATATTGCATAACAAAAAAAAATGTTTGGAAATAACCATAAGTTTCAAATTTTTTTTTATTAAAGTATCTTTTTTTTTCTGGGAAATTTATTATTTGTGTATCACCATAAGACCCTAAGATTTCCGATGTTTGAACAAATACTTGCAAGTAGGCTCTCAGATACTGAGATGGCTGGTGCTGGACATTTCCATGGGCTTTAGATAATTCTACATTGCACAGAAAAGATTGCATGATTGGTTCACCTTCAAAATATTGTCACCATTAAATTGCACAAATTAGAATGTGTGTATGTAATTTATTTTTGTCTAAAATACAATCGAAAAATGGATCTAACCTTTTTCTTGGTCAAGGTGGGGGATGAACCAACCCCCCTTGCTTAGGCTACTATCCTGGTTCCTAAAGGTCAGATATTTTGAAACATCTATAAGTTTGTGTGTATGATTTTGTAATTGTTGAAGTGTTTGACTAGCTGCTAAATTAATCTAAATATAACTTGAAGTATGCTGCCTTGTATTTCAAAGAAAATATACTGACATATGCATGAAACAGCTACATCCTCAAGAAGATTATCATCAAATGTTACAATTATGCATGTTGTTGTAATTTTAGCTACAAAAGAGTAATGTTAACATATACATGTTAAGTTTGTTTTTGAATATTCATGCAAAGCTACACAAGTGGTATCTGTCCCTAATTTTGAGCTGATAGACTAGAGGGAAGGTAGCTAGTCAATAACATCCACCACCAATTATTGGGCTTCTCAAATCAAACAGTGGGATTTGACCATCACCTTTATAACATATCTAACACCTCAAGGTGGGGAACATGATTTTTTTTTGTGACAAACATTGGACCCTCAGGTTCACAGTTTGACACGTAACCACTAGGCCACTTCTGAGCACGCTCACATTAAGAGATTGATTCAGCAACTGTTCTAATCACACACACATTAACTCTAAACAGCTGTTTGAAAAAGTCTTATAAGTACATCTGATCATTTTAACTTGAAATAAATGCAAAAAATTACCAGTAAAATACAAAGATGGCAGAATTAAAGTGCTTTAAACATTTTCCTCCAAAAACAAAGAAACAAACTTAAGATTAAATGATGGTCAGAAATTTAACTATACCATGCAACACACACACACTCCACGACCTCTAACCTTTTTCATTTTTCAACAAACTTGAGCTTCATTTCTGAAAGAACAAACACACTTTCATACAAACACAACAATTGTCTATAAAATTTTTCAATCATCAATTTCTTTAAAAGCAACCAACAATGAAAACCTGCATCATAATAACATTCTGGATATATACAAATGAACAGTAAAACTGGCACCTTTCTTTAGAGGTACAAGTGCTTGTACATGTGCAAAATAATAATTTATAACAGGCAATATGATAATTTTTGGGGGCAACAAAATTACTCCCAGTATGTAAAACAAAACCAAGGAAAAAAAACAAACAAAACAGTTCTTCTTAAAAGTTATTCCAAGAACCTCCATTTTCAAAGTTCAAATAAAAATTATCTTAGATTTTTTTAATCTCAACCTCAAGCTGCCTTATTCAATTAAAGACTTATCAAAATGGATTAGTAATAAGTACATAATACAAATACTTGTTCTACAAACACACTGATGAATTTTATCATATCACGTACATTCAGCACCCATCATTAAATAGTTAACATCTCTCACCAGCTTCCAAAAAATGACCATAACTTTCAGTAAATGGAGAATAAGGATGTTATCAAATACATCACCTTTAAGCTTAGGTTTTGTTATCACATTTCAAACAAAAGCACCAATGCCTGCATCCTGTATGATTTTTCCAATAATAAAACACCAAGCGAATTCACATCAGGCCATTGTATATGGATACAAGTAGTGGCAAAAAGTGTTTCATCATCATAATTTATAATGTGTTAGAAAAAAAAAAGAAAGAAAGTTGTATTTAAGTTCTATGTGATCTGCAGAGATGAGGAAATGTAAGAACTTTCCACATGGATGATAAATGCACACTGTGTGTAGTATACTTCTTTCACTTGGGAATGGATCAACCTCCTTGAGTAGCTTGTGCCGAGTGAAACACAACTTGACCGAGATTTATTTAGGATCAGAAATATTCATTACTTCAAACTGTCATCTTGCATATCAATTCATAACTCACTTATATTAAGTAGTTTTTAAATCAGATGCTTGCTCTGGATACTTCCAAAGATATGACTAATGCCAACTGTTTTCAGCCAATATTCTATTTAAAAAGTCACTGTCTTTCTTACAAACAATGCTTGGTCACTTTTATCAATCGAGCAACTGAGAAAAGTCGGGGCTTGTTGATGAATGGAAATGGTCATCTGACATGTGATGACCTGACAACCCAAGATTGTTGGTGTTCTGTTTGTCTTCCGAAAGAGGACTTCCAAGGGTATGATGATAAGCCATTGCATTTGAGCTGAGAAGAGCAAGACGTGAAAGAGGAGTGGGGTGTTGAGAGATTGGACCATAGGAGCTCATAGACGATGGGGGCTGAAAGCTACTGTAGTGTCTCTGATAGCCATGAGGGAGCCATCTTGGGGAATGAGCCAGTGGAGCTGGAACTGGGGTGGGCGGAGCAGAGTAGAAGGGCCGACTCTCTTGTTCAGAGAACTGCAACTGGCCAGGAGTGCCACATGGAGACGGACTCTTGATGTGAGTCATCTGAGAATTGTTGACAGGAGGACTATGCATCACGGGGTGGATCATACATTCTGAAGGAGGTGCGAGAGTCGGAGATGGCTGGTGGGGATATGCTGGATGGCTCAACATGCCAGGAGGTGATGGGCTAGAGACAGAGGATGGTTGTGTGGATGAGGGAGTTCTATGAACCCCTCCTAAGGAGGTGTTTGCAGATACCTGAGGAAGAGGAGAACTGCGAGGAGGAACCGATTGGGAATGTGATTCTTGTGTTGTTTTAGTAACACTTTGAAAAGGGCTTGGTGTAGGCCTAGGTGGGTTATTTAGAGATTGAGAAGATTTACCAAGATTAATAGGGTTCAGAGAAGGAGAGTGAGTTTGTGGAGATCCAGAAGTAGGTGGAGCTGGAGAGGAGCCATGAACTGAGTAAGACGAGAATTGATTTATGTTTGAACGGGAACCTTGGATTATTGGGCGGGATCCATTGGAGCAGGAACGTGAACCACCACGAGAACCGTAGCGACGAGAAGGCAGCTGACCTGTATGACGCTGCATGTGAGTTTTTAAGTTTCCTTTTTGTGAAAATGTCTTTCCACACATAGTGCAAGGGAAACGATCATCCTTGTTATGGGTTCTCACATGAGTATGCATATTTCCACGCTGAGAAAAACATTTCCCACAAACTCCACACGCAAATGGTTTTTCTTTTGTGTGCACACTCCGTATGTGCGTTTTCAGGTTTCCTTTTTGGGTGAAGCTCTTGCCACAAGTGTCACACGAGAACTCCTTCTCTCCTGTATGAATCTTCATGTGTGTGTCTACATTGCCTTTCTGGGTGAACCTTTTACCACACACCTGGCAGCCATAAGGTTTCTCTCCTGTGTGAATCATCATGTGGGTTTTTAGATTTCCTTTTTGGGTGAAGTACTTGTGACAAACGGGGCACAAGAACTGCTTGGTTGGTGCTGGCCGAGGCCGACGGGTTTGCTGTTGGTTCATTGGCGAGTCTACATGGTTAGTCTGCGATCTGTCAGGCATTTGTAAAGGTAGTGGTGGTGGAGGAGGTGGAAGAAGGGCAAGAGGAGACTGCTGAGGATGGCTGGAACTTTGTGCAGCTGAAGTTGGTGACTGTGATGTTGGTGGCAGCTGTTTCCGCTCAGGTGGGGCACTCAGTGGTCGGCTGATACTAGGGTGAGTAGACATGCTGCAGGAGCTACTACTACTGCAAGCCCCGTCAGACTTCAGGCTACTGTATAGTGAGAAGTATTGTTGACAAACCTCACAAGGGTAGGGTTTATCCTTTGCATCTGGGTGAGGGCACTTCTGAGAGTGCTCATTAAAAGAGGACATTTTTTCTATGTAGCTTGATGCTGCAGCTAACTGTGAAATACCTGTTCCAAAGTGAAGGGGGTTTTTCTTAAGAAAGAGGTCAGTTAAACTGGCCTGGTATCCAGGAGGCCAGCTTTTGTGGCTAAGGGATGTTGGAGCCACCCAGGGATAAGTACTGTTCTGCATGGTGCTAGTTGGAGGGTTGCTGTTCATGAAATCCTGAACTCTTGAGAATTAAAGGCGATATTGTGTGGTTGGTAGCTTTTCAAGTTTGTTCTGTGGCCCTTCCAGTCTTCAAACTGTTTTGTCTTAGGTGTTTATCATGGTTTAATGATGTCCAGGTATCTAACATGGTCAAGATCATGATCTGAAAAACAAAATCAAATAAATAGATAAAGTGACTACTGAATCTAAAAACTTGGCTTTACAAATCATTTTTCTTATACATACCATATCAAAAGACTGCAATTACACACGTATCATCACTATCAAAGATTATTATTGACAAAAAATAGCAGTAACCAAGAAATATAAAACTATGTTCTTACTAAATCAAGTCTCAATGGTATTTATACATGTTTTAACTTTCTCTCTTTATCCATATGACACTATTATTCTAAGACACATTTTGATACCTATTACACAATTATTCGAACAAAGTATTTTATGACTTATTTTCAGCCCTCAGTAACGGGTTCTGTAGATGTGTATACAACATAGTAAACAGTTCAAGTCTTATTCTATCACATAAAATATCAAAATTAATAATTTTGAATGCAATGAATTCTTTCACTTTCAAGCAACGAACTTACACGAATGCAACCGAACAACAACTATAAGAAACATACATGCACCTCTTTTAAAAAGGAAAAAAACTTCTATAGTAAACAACATTATGTTCTTTTCGACATTGAAAACTAACAGAATTGCTCAATTTTCTTTATTAAACAGTGAATTCCACTTTTTGATGATAAAGGGTTTTTAGCATAGGGGTAATTGTTGTGAGCGTTGGCACCCATTCTAAGTTGGTAATTAATGACGATGGTGTCGCAGTCCAATTATCAAGTTCATGTTAGATGCTGTAGATGAATTACATGTAATGTTTAAGTGTAGGAAAAATTATACCAATCACTGCTGTACATAATGATGATTTGATTTTTAAAAATGTTCACCGTAAAAGATCCAAGTATAGACATACATACACGACTCAGAAGTACGTATACAAGTAATCTAGCTAAGTATAGACATACATACACGACTCAGAAGTACGTATACGAGTAACTTAGCTAAGTATAGACATACATACACGACTCAGAAGTACGTA